AAAAATTTTTTTGCTTTTTTTTTTTTTCTAAAAAACCCCCCCCCCTTTTTTTTTTTTTTTTTTTTTTAGAAAACCAGTTTGTTTGGATTTTGAAAGTTTTTAAGTTTGTTTAAAAAAGCATTCTTGTTTTAATTACAACATATTTAAATATTTGCAGTTCATTTTTTTTAGAATTCTTGACAATTTTAAGTTTTTAGGTTCTTAAAAAATTAAATCAGTGAAAAAGATGACAAATTTTAAATTTTGTTCAGAATTTATAAAATATTTAACTGCATTTTTAAAATTTCTAAATAAATGTTTATTCTATGAAAGAAATACTAAAAAACCCACATCTTTTTAAATTTGGTCAATGATTAGTATTTATATCTTTCTAAGCCTTTGCTGCACAGTATGCTAACTCTAAAGTGCTACATCAACACCATAATTAGCAAAAGCTAATGCTAACGCACTATACCACCAAAGTATTTAGCAGAAGCAAAAGCTTTTAGATACTTTATTTATGGTTATCTTGATCTCTACTGTCCGTTTTATTTGTTTTTTTTTTTTTAAATAAAGTTATTGAGAAAAAAAAGATTGAGGGGAAATGGAACTGCCTTAACAGTCTTCACCCCTTCAAAATAAGGGCACGAATACAAACGTCTAGCTACTTGAAGATTCTTCATAACCAAAACTTCAATAAAGATGTTGAACTTTATTCAATTAAAAGTTTACAAAATGGCCAAATAAAGTAGCGCTTCAGAATTAAACTGGGGGAAGCTCGGTGAGATTAAATGTTTCCAAAGTTAGCAAAAGCGCTATAGGCTAAAAATTAGCTCGTCTATTAGCGCATTAGCAGATAAACACGGCTGCATTTTTGGTGGAAAAAGAAAAGGTGAGGCTGTGGTCACTTTAGTAGCCAAAGGGTAGGATCCTGTTTGACTCAAATCATTTTATTTCTTTTAAGTAATACAGGAAAATGTGATTATATGACGAAAACCTTCCTGTTGGCCTTTAAATTCCTGATATTAGTCTTTTATTTTTAGCTTTATGGTCTGTTAATCATTTCTAATCTCTGGAACTTCTTCAGTTTTATTTCCATTTCCTCTTCATTGTTCCCAACCTGTTGACGTTCAGTTCTAGTAATTGCTTTTATTGGGTTTTTGTCAAACATAACGACCCTTTTTAGTGACGTAATGGAGGCATATAGATGTTGTTTACATGCTGATTGGTCGGACCGGTTGGAGAACCTGCTTAATGACTCAAATTTCTTTTCTCCTGATTACTAAACCTGAGCATTTCAGAGAGAAGTGGGCTGGCAGGGAAGTGCTGGCTGCAGATTTCCATTGAACAGAGGAAGAAATGTTTTTTAAATGGGTTAAAAAGGGGCAGAGAGGCCCACTTGTTCTAAAATGTTTGATCCTCCCTCTGTTTTTGTTGTGGATCAGCGCAGCAGGGAGGTGTTTCATCTGCTCAGCCGGCAGCGTTTGCCAAGCATTCCTTTGAATAGAAACATTTTAGTCTGTGAAGTCCTGAGCAGATCTCACTGGTATTAATAAGACAATGAAAACTGAGCTTAAACATAATTTACTCAGTTTTAAATACAGTCTGGGTTGTTTACATCATCCAAACTGTCAAAATAGGCAATTTAAAGAGACTTTAACTGGACAAACTGGTCAGAATTACACACAACTGTTAAGTCTGTAAGCCGAACTCGAGTCATTGCTGTAAGAATCTGATAAAATGCAAAGTGATCGTTCAGACTGCAGACGGTTTGAAAACAAAAGAGAATCAGATCTGATTATAGTTAGAGAGACTTCATAATTATGTTGTTTATGATTTATTTCTGTTCGAGTTAAATATTCAGTAGAATTTAAAGTTTATTGATCTTTTAGAATGTGTTTTTACATTATTATGCCATTAAATTACTTGAAAATGGTCTTAAAACAGCAAAATTATGGCCATATATTCTGGGATGATTTATTGTCCAGCAAAATTTCTTATCAGGCCTACCAAATAATTAAAGAAAAAAATCCAAAATGTAACATGTTCCAGTTTAATCATGCAGTCAGGGTTCGGGCCAGTCATTAAATGTCAGCTGGTAAATTTATCCATCAAGGGAAGAAATTCATCGATTCACTGATTTGCAGTAATCCGTCATCCCGAGCAGCATGTGGCGACAGTAGACACAAACAACTCACTGTAAACTGAAAGAACTACACTTTAAAAAACCTTACTAAATAGTCCCAGAAGGATAACATTTAAAACTCTTTGACATATTTCAGCCATATTTTTTATTTTATACACATTTAAATTATTTTAAGATGGTTTAAAACATAATTTTCTTCTACTACATTTCTGATGCTTCATTTTCATCTATTAATAAATCAAACTCTGATAATTATTAATGGGGTTATTTTTCATTAATTCATTATTAAAATGATAGTCAACACAGTCAGTAATCGATGAATCGATAATTGACTCAAAAAAGGCCAAATGGTGAAAGAATAGCAGAGCAGTGATGAAACCACAGCAAATAAAAAGAAAACTATTTTTCTGTAAATATCTCAAACTTCTGAAGTGCAGATTCAGCTTCACCTGCTTCATCTTTTTCTACCCAATCATTAATCAATTAACCGATAAAATAATTATCAGATCAGCCATACATGTCATAAAGTCAAGCAGATTCTTTCTTTACTACAACTGATCACTAAAGTAATGCTGCTGTATTGCATTTTAGGCAATAAAATGTTTATTTCCTCATTTAAAAAGCAATTGAAATATGTTTTTGGCATATTTTAATGTATTTGACATGGCAGAAAAAGGCTTGAAAGGTGAAATAAAAAGTCTTATTTTCATTTGACTAATCGGTTATTAAAATAATCGTTAACCCTGACGTAATAGGAAGTTAACATCCACAGCTTAGAGAATCTGGTTTTTCTCGTTCTTATGCACAATGCCGGGGTTTTTCTCCTCCATTTGTTGAAAGATCAGATACAGCATTGGATAAGTTGCTTATTTAATCTCCTTGCATGACGTGCCGCTGCTGAAGGAAAGAAAAAACAACTTTTCCGTCCCTGCAGATTGAAAAATCAGACATTTTTCCCGCCCATCATCCCTGATGATCCCGACTCCACCTGTGCAGAGCATGTGCTCGCTCGCTCCCTGTCAATCTGCCTCGTCCACTCCCTCTCCCTCTCCCTTCGCACGCTCCCGCCACAGATTTGCGGCTGGCATGTGTCCCTCCATCTGGCTCGCACATGCACTGCATTTGGACGTTGCGTAATGGCCTGGGCCGGGGGAACGCGGCGCCACCGTGCCACTACGCGACACGTGGGGAAGTGACAAGGGCCAGAGAAACAAACTGCTTATGTAAAGGCATTAAGAAGACCGAGCAACTCCTGCCACATTCGCTCACCCGGTTGAGGAATTAAAAATAGAAAGTTGGTGAGAAACAGAAAACATGCAGCGACAAAAGAGTTAGCTGCAGGGCTGAGTCACGCTCAGCCGTCTTCTATAGTTAATAATGGGAACTTCACTGACGCCTTCAGTCCTTAATGCATGATTAAAGTCATCTGCAACATATTTTGGAGATGAAACCAGTTAAAACACATTTAAATATCATTTTAGGTTATTTTTAGCTTCATAATTAATTTTGATGCCTCTGGGGCTGAAACAATCGGATTAGTTGTGATTAATCAATGATTGAAGCACCAACTAATTTAATAATTTAATTAAATGGAATATATATACGTAAAACAAAAGCCATTTGCTGGACAAACGAAATATCCAGAGCAGTAATTAAGACATTAAATTTAAGACAATTTAATGTTTTAAATTGTCTGCCTACTTTTTCAGGATGCATTCACACTAGTCCTGATTAATCCGCTTTAATCCAACTCCAGTTCATTTGGTTCGGTTCATTTGAGGAGGGGTGAACTCTGATTCAGTTCGAATACATATGTGAACGCCAAGCGGACTGAGACCGATCCAAAAGCAGGAAGTGGACTACAGCGCAGGGTATTCTGGGAAAATACAACCAAAACAAACACATTAGCCTAGCGTTAGCAGGAGAAATGGTTTGTCATTTATCCAAAGAGGAAAACAAAATCCTCCAATTGCTAAAATCTGATTCCGTTCCGTTTTGGTTTACATTTCCGTGTCTTCAAAGGTTTTCGTGTCATTTCCTTCAGTGGTTCTTGGTGCAGCGCCCCCACAGGTGAGGAGGGGAACAGGTATTTTATAGGATTTGGTTCATTTGACTCGGTGTGAAAGAACAGCAGCTGAAAATGTAGCAAATGTTGCAGTTTTTGTCCCCAATTGAACCAAATGATGGGAAAACACCCAAATTATGACGAGGTGCAGAAACTCTCTAGATGAAAACATTTTATTAAAGAACTTCCTAAAAAGTCAACATGAAGACGATCACTTTCTCAGTTTGTTCACCCCTGTTGTACTGATGGTGTTCCTCCTTTTTGTTGTTTTCCTGCTCTGAAATCTGCAGCAGCTCTCGTGGCTCCACCATCCAAAGCCGTAATCCAGAGGCCCAGGCTGGTCGAGCATAAATCCCATTCGGAGTTGCATTAGCTGGCATCTCATCGGGAGGGCACATAGATTAATATTTTATTATTTAAACCCCCAGGACGCGCATATCTGCTGTCATCTGGAGACTGGATGGTGGATTATTAATCTGGCTCTGCTGACTTTACATCAGGAGACGACACACAAGTTTATCTTTAAAAACTTTATGCTTGAAAAAGGATAAACAGAAATAATGCAGGAAAAGATCATGAAGTTATACTTTTTGAGGTTGGTGTGTGTTTGAGGAAGTCGGGACCAAACGTTGTAACAAACCTCAGCAGATTCTTGGCTGGTGGTTCCGTCTGATGAAACGGCTCCAGTTTTACTTCAGGCTGATTCTGAACATTGTGCAAGAAAAATCCTGGCATGAAGCAAAGTCATGATTCATGACGAACATGCAAATAACCAGCAAAGAAACGACCTCATTTAGTTTATTTTATCATAATATACTTTATTATTGCTTATTTTGGCATTGCTTTCATATTTAGCTTAGCTTATCTCTGTTTACTTTGGCTTAGATAACCTTATCTTAAGTTGATTTAGCATAGCTTTGCTTTTTCATCTTGTTTTTATCCTAATTTGATTTTTATCTTCTAGTTAAATTTACCTTAACTCACCTTTTTTTTATCACAGTTTAGTTTAGCTTATGTTTTTGTTTTAGGTTATTAGCTTTGTAAGTCTTATGACCTTAGCTTATCATGGGTTTGCATATTTTACTTTATCTTATTTTAACTCATGTTATTTTAGGTTTATATATATTTGAGCTGGTTTTGACTTAACAGCTTGACACATTTTAGCTTAGTTGATCTTTTATTACAGTTTAGCTTATGTTATCTTGGTGAGTTAATGTTAGCTTATCAAGAAATTAAAGTAAAAGGTTTCCTTATCTAGTTTAAGAAATTACAACCGCATGATTTTAAATTACTTATGTGATTTTTAACTGCATTTTTAATTTAATTGTGAAAACGCACAATATCATAAAAATTTGGTCACATTTGTAATGGAAACTTGGCTACTGCTGAGTGACGACAGCTTACTTCCAAAAGTAACACATTTTTACTCACGTAAGAGTAAAAAAGTATTTGGTAAAAAGTTACTCAAAATCAGGCAAAAATAAAATGTTTCCAAATCAGTTTCTTTAATAAAAAAAACTGAAGAAACTTTAACCACCTGCTGCAGGTCTGTGTCTGGTGAATTTTTGGTTAAAACATGTTTGTTTTTCATTCAGTGGGTAGAAAATCTAGAAATGTTAGTCAAGTAAGAGAAGAAATATTTCATAATAAAATTACTCAAGTAAAAGTAAGAAGTACAGTGCAGTAAAAGTAATTTTTTTTTCTCAAACAAATATAATTGAGTAAATGTAACTGGTTACTACTGAACTCTGAACATGTGTATCAGAGGTTTGGACATTTCTGGTGTTCCGTAGCTGTGCTGATGGAGGGGGTGTGTCGGCTGAAGGGTCGCTGTTTAAGTGGCGAGAAGACTAAGCCTCGATGGGGGGGATTATGGTGGGCGGGGGCGGGGAGCCTCCATGATCTGTCAGAGCTTAGTAACACAATTATCCCAGCGGCTCCGACAGCAGCAGCAGCGACGATGATGATGATGATGATGGTGGTGGCGGCAGAAGCAGCGTTTTCATTAGTGTAATGCCCAGAGACGCTCCGTTGTTATTATGTAAGCGTGACGCCATCCCAGCTCCCAGCGACGGCGTGGCGGCTTGCTTCCTGCTCGGAGAAGCCAAAAGGACGTCGGTCCGTCAGCAGCGGCGGCGGGGATGTCGCCGACCTCCGCGCTGGATCCCAGGCTCGTTGCCATGGAGAAGCGGATGCTGTGAGGCGCGGAGACGGAACATCTGATGAGTCAGACGTGGGGAGATGAGAGGAAACGAGATGGACACGCGGCAGCGGCGGTCTGATGGATGCTAGAGGAGAGATTTAAAAAAAGAGAAGATGAAGTTTAAGAAGTTCATCACCATCATGCAGGCGGCCATGGGGGTCGTTCCGCTGAACAAACGGGAGCTGATGCCGCCGGGCAGGAAGCTGTGGCGACCCCCGGGGTGAGATGGACGTTTCACAAATAGACAGAAAAGATTCAGTGTTTGGTAATCAGGGAAGGAACAGGTGGATTCTGTACCTTTAAGACTTCAGCTTTAAAAATAACATCAGCACCAATAAGAGAAGATGAAAAGAAAAATACTGATCATTATTATTCTCTTTTTTGTGTGTTAATTTGTCCACTGTAATACATTATATTTAAACTGAGTGTATCAAGGGAATCGAGTCTTTATGGCTGAATCTGGAATATTACGTTATGTGCTTCGTACTTTCAGAAACATCTTAGATATTAGAGTAAGATGGCAATTTTAAACTATATTGCAGCCATATTGCCAAAAAAGAAAGTGGCTAAAATTTAAAATATTTTGTCATGTGGGTCAAAATCATTTATTGGTCAAAACAATGTAATTTTTAAGATTAAAATCAACAAAAACGTTTTTCTTTTCTGATTTTTCTTGTTTTTTAACCAACAAAAAAACTAATTAAAATAATTAACAGTTAAAGTAAATCCATTTTCTTTTAACAATAGACGAAGCATGACTATTTTAATTAAAAATCTTTTTTTTTTCTTGCACGTTTGAGGCAATAGATACAAAACTTCAAATTATTTTAGCATGTTTTCATTGTAAAATGAAAAACCTTTTATTTTGGGCTCGATTTTAATTTCATCTTTTCTCATCAATAAAAACAGGATCTAAGTTGGTCTTTATTTGACAACACTTCCTGTTTCAATACAACAATTAAAAGCAGATTTGGATGCATCAATCTGTCATTTAGATTACAAGTCGATGCGTAAATTGTCTGTTACCATGACAACAGAAAGAAAACAGAAAACTTGAAAAGATGATCACTTTGTTTGCATCTAACAATTTTGTAAGTAGATTTCAATTTAAAATTGTAGTTTTATCCTAATTTGTTGAACTTGTTCTTGAGTTTTGGTCGGGTGGGCCACAGAAAATCCATCCAGGGGCAGCAAACGGCCCACGGACCCTACTTTGAACACCCTTGACTTATAACTTGGAAAATACCCCAAAAAACTCTGCTTCTAACCAGAAATCTGTTTTAACGGGTGTTTTATTTTTTTGTGAAAATTGAGCTTTTTGTTGATATTTTGGATTAAAGTCCAAACTTTGTTGGTCCAGTGAACTGAAAGCAGGAGGAGTTGAAAATCTGGTCGTTTTGGCCTCCAGGCGTCATAACAGAATATTTTGAAGCAAAAGGAGACATTGTTGCATTCAGAGTTCAGCTCTTTAAGCTTCCAAGGTCTTTTCTCTGCTCAGTTTCCCGAATGTTGGAGTCTGACGAGCAGAAACCGATTGGAAATGTTGTTGCATCAGAAATGAGGATTGCTTTAAATGTTGCAGCTGTTGAGTCACGGGAGGACAGTGCAGCTCTCTCCAGTCCTTTGGGTTGATTTGATCTTTTTTTTAATCTAATATACTTTTGCTTCAGGTTTATTTGAGTGGAGCAAACGGAGATGAAATGTCAGGATGACTGACCTTTTGTTTTCTGTTGGAGCGGTTTTATTCTCAGAGGGGAAAACCTCAGTCTGAATCGGCCTATTTGTGCTCCGATACACAGGACATTAATTTAAAAAGAAACTCCACCTGCAAGAGGAATTAAGAAAATATGTGGTTGAGACGGCGCTCACTTTTGGTATTCAAGGTCAAGATATTCATTAAAAATGTCTGATTAAAGCGTTCTCTGGATCCAGAAAACACATGATGACACAACAACAAACTCCTCTGACTTTCGTTAAGCCGTTCCCAGAGAACAATGATCCGGTTTTCCATATTCACACCGGAGAGTTTCGGTTCGCTTTAAACGGACCAGAGTTCGTTTCCCCTGTCGGTCCGAACCTTTAGGTGTGAATGCACTGCAGCGGACAGTGGAGTGGGTCGAAGTATAAAGTCGTAATGAGGTGAAAATAGCTGCAAGACATTTAGAATAAAGTCATGGTGACATGAGAAATCGCAAAACAAAGAAGTATTACAACTGTGTCATAAGATTACAAGAATAAATTTTATGACGACGTATTACAAGATTAATTCATAATGTTTCAAGAATATCGTAAAAATATGAGAACACTCTTATGATAGTCGTAGTATTACCAGAACAAAGTCGTTGTGATGTGAGAGAATTGTCACATTTCCAGAATGTCGTAATATTACATGAATAAATTGTACAACAATAGATGTATTACAAGTTAAAACTCGTAATATAAAGTATTACGAGTCGCAATATGAGAATAGTTGTACGACAGTCATAGTATTACCAGAATGTCTTTGTTACAAAAATATTATGCATTATATCATGAAAAAAAGTTGTAATATTTTCAGAATAAAGTTGTAAGACAACGAAGTTGCGACGTTAGGATAAAGTTATACAAAAAAGACGTACCTAAATAAAATTGTAAGGTTACCAGCACAAAGTTGTAATGTTAGATACCAAGATAAAGTCGTGACATTATGATAATATCTTTAAGAGGCTAGTCGTTGTGGACTGTTGATGTAAATCATCAAGAATCCGTCGCCACGACCAACATGGAGGAAAATGTTATGAACCAATAAAATGAGTTTCGCTGGATCGTCTCAGCAGCTGTTTTCCTAAAACGTCACCATCAGAAACCCCCGACCGTCTTCACATCCTCCCCGCTGCGGGCGCATAGCTGGCAGCACCAGCCATTATTCAGGGACCCGTTACCATGGGAACCTGGAGAGGGAAAGGAGAGTCATGTTGGCAGAGGACTGAACATGTCGCTCACGGTTAGTCAGGGTGAGAAAAGAGCGAGAAACGTCTTTGTTCTTATCACATTTAACGTCTTCCATCATCAAATCACAGCTGATGTTTACTAAATTAGTTTAGTTAGAATATAAAGATCAATAATAATAATAATATCCTGAGGCAGACGCTGGTCTGGCTGCAGGTTTTAAAGGTCAAACTGTGTTTTGGACTTTCTAAAAGCGGATCCTGAAGTGTTGGGTGATTCAGACTGAAGAGTTGACAGTTTGACAGTCCGGCCGCTGAGACTTTCCCTCTGAATATTTCAGAAGCGTCGTTAAAAATTTAAAGCTGAGGACCGCAGCGCGCTTCGTCACAACGGCTCATAAACATCCAGAAATACAAACAGATTTCTGCTCAGTTTTATATCGGTGACAATAACTGCAATGTTGGGTTTTCTCAGATTTTTATCACATTTTAAGCTAAATAAACTCAATATGGTGTTTGTAGAATTTATTATTAGCATAAAAATGATGGAAAAGTTTTTTTTAATCTCTTACTTTAGAAGCAAAAATTTGTAATAAACCAACTTTTAAATTAAATCTAGAAAAAATATTTTTATCCTTGTCGGCCTTTGGAAGGACAAACATCCTTATAAATATTTTTAAATGAACTTATTTTATAAAAATGATTAAAAGTTGTATTCCTTGATATTTAATGTGACATTTATTGGTACGTTTATTTCATGATGTGTTTATTTAATTTTGGCTCTACTATGATTCTGATAATCATTTCATGACCCCTTTTTTCTTCTTCTGCTCAGGGACCAGGGTTGCTCTGACCAGACCAGTACTGACCTGCTCAAGTCCAGCCGTAAGTTCTGCTGGTCCAGAGAAGCCCAGTACTTGTACCTTCGCCGCCTGTCGTCGAGGAGCCTCTCCGCCATCACCATGGTACGTTTCACATGCTGAGCGTTGGAGAGTGAGCGTCCTCCATGTTTAGGGGTCAACATGGGGTCAGAGCTTCGGGTCAGGAAGCTTTGCTGTGATGATGCAGCTGCTGTGAAAGAGATTTTATTTATTACCCAGAGTTTAAAATCTCACCAAATGAACAGCAGCTTTGGTTCTAGTTTGATGTTTGTCAAATTCAGCTTATAGATCCGGATGCATGTTTGCTATGGAGTAACGTTAAAATATGTTCTAAGTAAACACTGGATATTTCCTTCCCCCCTCTTTTGTCTTTTTTTGTATATATCATTGTTAATTTTTTTCTTCTTAATATTTTTTAAATGCCCATTTTTCTTTCCTTAACTTATTTTTAAAATTTTTCCACCTTTTACCATTTTTTAAATTTTTCACCTTTTCCTTTTTTTTTTTTAAATTGTTCCACATTTTCCTTTTTTTCATTTTTGGGCCCTTTTCTCATTTGTGTTTTTTTTTTTTTCCAAAAATCTTTTACCTTATTTTTTTTTTTAATTTTCTCAGTGTTTTTCCTTTTTCCACCGTTAATTTAATCCTAGTCTCTTCCTCCATATTAGCAATAAATCAGAAGCTGTTATTGTTTTGGTTTGCTCCATCAGAATTAAACATTTGAAGCAGCTGCCTGATCTAATACGAATAAAAGCTGAAAAATAAAAGATGGTAAACTAATCTGGGGACTGATGTAGTTAAACCAGGTTTACTATATTTACCTTTATGTGGTTAAAAACTCTGATTTGGATACAAAGTGTTGTGGTTTTATGATGCAGCGACCACAGGGAGTAAAATCCCAACCAACAGAACTAAATGGTGTTGATGCAAATAGTTTAAATTCAGTCACATCTCTCAGTATGTTCCCTATTATAAATCAGTAAATATTGAAGTAATTTATTTCAGTGATTAGTTTTGGAAGGGAAATTTTGTGTAAATTTGTTACAGAAACAAATTTACATTTAAAGTCATTTAAATGTAAATTGATGCATTTAAAGATTTAAAGTCTTAATTTTGTAAAATTGGTAGTAACAGATAAAGGACTTTATAACTTTTTTAGCAGTGACATTTTGTGACTTATCCTCTGCGTGAAGGATGTCATTTCAGGTCATATCACAGCTTTTTTTCTGCCACACTTTTACCTTCCACCAAACTTTCAAAATAAGATACAGCACTCTGTGATCATTCAGCACTGTTGGAAATGTTTTCTGATTTCTCCTCCTTGTGATGGATGTCATTTATTCTTTGTCCTCTCTTCTACACTTTTTCCTTCCACTAAACTTTCTCCCTGTAAGCTGGGATACTGCATTTTGTGGACAGTCAATATTGTTTACAATGACTTTTTGTGGCTTATTCACCTTGTGAAGAATGTCTTTTACATTCTGGAGCACAATTGTCAGGTCAGAGTCTTTGTTTTCTACCACCGTTTTTCCTTCCACTAAACTTTCCATTTATATACTCTGGTACAGAGTTCTGTGATCAGTGTATATTGTTGGGAAGGACATTTTGTGGCTTATCCTTCTTGTGAATGATGTCATTTATATTCTGGAGAACAACTGTTGTTTCGGAGCCTTTTTCTACCACACTTTATCCTTCCACTAAACTTTCCATTTGCGTACTGTGGTACAGCATTCTGTATTGAAACGAGCATTGTCAGCAATAACCTTGTGTGGCTTGTTATCCTTGTGAAGGAGGTCATTTACATGTCGGGTTGGAGCCTTTTCCTACCACAGTTTTTCCTTCCACTAAACTTTCCATTTTTAATCTGATACTTCCCCCTGTGTCATCCAGCATCGTTAGGAATGACATTTTGTGGCTTACCCTCTTTGTGAAATATATAAAGGTCAGGTTTGAGCCTTTTTACATCACACTTTTTCCTTCCACAAAACGTTTGTATTATTGTAGGCCTTACCTGGAAAAATTAACAAAAAATAGTGCTTGAAATCACTTTGTGTGCCATTAATTTGTATAGAATGTTTCACTGAAATGCAGTTTTTATTTTCATCCTTATATATTTGAGTTTAACTTTATAGATTGTTGAAGCTTCTTTTAGGGAAATCTTAAAGATAGAAATCTGGTGTAAAATGGAGACCAGCTGTTGAAATCCAGTAAACTTCCTTCTGTTTGTTTAGTTTAGGTCTGATCATATCTTATGGATGTTGCTAACTTCCTTCTGGAAGATTAACATCAGTCTTTCTGTCTTTGGTTTTATTTTCAAGCTTCTCCACTAATGAAAAATTTAGTTTTACCTTCTAATGAAGCCGTTTTATAATCCTGTCACCGGATGATTCAAACCTTGATTCAGAAAGCAGAATCAGTGTGCTGACATGGATTTAAAAGAATCAGTGACTCGGTGTTTCCCAGTCTGCTTCTTTCCTTTTTTATCAACATTTTTGAACACTCCTCTCTCCTGCAGATTCCCCTCCTCCTGCTCTCCCCCACCCAGGATGATGATTAACCAGAGAGACATGTCAGATCCAGAAAGCTTCATTGTTTTAATGGCTCAGTCTCACAAATAATTCAGGTCAGGGAGGCTGCTTTGCATAAGGTTGGCCTATTTTGAGCTGTGCCTGACATTTTTCAGAAGCCCTGGAATGTGCTTATTTCTACCACACTGACTCCTCTTCCAGAAAAAAAGTCATAGGTGTGTCCAAAGTGCAGAAGAGCTGCATTTGTTTTGAAATTAGCTTATTTATGTTGTTTTACTGCAGCTAAAACCTGAAACAGCTGTTTACTTATCAAGAAAGTTAAACTGCTGAGATTAAGTTGATTGTTCTGGCCAAAACAGGCTAAAAATAAAATAATTTATCGGTATTATTACTTATTAAACAGTGAATCCTCCCTTATTTGCGGGTTCGTATTGAGGTTTTTCTGTGGAACTTAACTCGAAGCTAGAACACTGAGGTACAATGCTACGTGACATGCTATTGGCTACCCGTTTTGTAACGGCCAATTCAGGAGCGCCTTTTATTTTGCTTCATGCTGATTGGCTAATACTCCAACAGTGGAGATGAGGAAGACTGTTGTTAGCTTCTGTAGCAGCGCTAGCTAGCTAAGACGGTTTCCACTCTGTGAATTCATGTATATCAAGATATATTTAAGGTTTGTACTATTAAAATTGGTAGCTATAAGCGTTTTAAAGGAGTTTTAAGGTGTTTAGCTATTTTTGGGCGGCTGGGATCAATAACCGGGTGAATACTAGGAGCTAACTGTCCACTGAAAAGTTGGAAAATTAAATACTGGATTCAACTCACATAAAATATACAATAGAAATTAAAACACACTATGAAAAAAGTGAGCTATACAATGAAAGTAAAAATATGAAGATATAAAATATGTAGTAAATGGTTTAATTTTTTAAAAGTGTAAAAAAATATACAAAAATTACAAAGTACTAATACTAAAAAGAAAAAATTGCAATTAAGTAAAAAAAACAAAACAATTGCTATAAAAATAGAATAAGTAAAAAATTGAAAGTAAATGACAAAAAAAAATCATATTTATATGGGATAAAGGTTTAAAAATCAATAAAAACAATCTGCTTGTTATGAGTCAGAAATAATCCTTCATTTTCAAATTGAAATAATTGCAGCCATGATTCATCTGCTAGACTTTGGATTCATTTTTTTTTTTTTTTTTGTTTGTTGTTAATTGGGAACCTCTTTTCATGGACTAATCCCTGATTTTATAATTGGGACAATCCCTGCTTTATCTGCCTGGATAATTTGACTTATAGCCTCCTTTTATATTTCAGACATTGTGGCGGCAGAATATGGAAACAATTTGGTTTGGTTGTATTAGAAGATTATGATGAGGTCATATTTATTAGGCACAACAAAACACACAAAAGATCAAACTAATAAGGTCTGAATTGACGTCTCCACCAAAGACTTTGTACAATTATTCACAAAAAAGATAAAATAAGTCATAAAAGCTGTTATACATATATATAATTTAAAAGCAACTACATTTGGAATGTAATATAAATTTTTTAACATTTTACAGAGACAATTAATAGTTTAGTAACTCTACATTTTATTTTTAAACTATTCTAAATAGTTTTAGAGAGAACTTATTTCTAGCATAATTTCATGAAATATTAATATATCTTGAGCTTAAATTTTTTTCTCACTTTAAAACCACTGTTTTGGATGGATTTTATTTAGTTTTTATGTAATAAACCAACACAAAGTTCAGAATTTGTGCCAGTATTCTTTGCAAAATATCTCTAAGTCAGTCAGATTGGATAAAGAACATCTGTGTGGATCACAAATGCATGCCACAAACTTCAGATTTTCATTTATAAACATTTGTTTAAATAAAAAAAACCTTTTCCTTTTATTACATAAAATCCTAATAATATAAACTGAAGTTTGTGGCTCTAACCAGACAAAATGTGAAAAAGTTTTAAGGGGTGTGAATACTTTGAATGCTAGATGTTGCAGTTTGGGATTTTTTGATGTGTGGGAGTGTAAAAAGTCATTGTGTCTGTGATGCAGATTTATTTTTAGTCTGTCTAAAAATAGATAAATTACGCTCAGATGTCGTTTTCCTGTGTCATACTTTTTGTTCTGTCCGCCTGGGAGCTTCACAGCTTTAAAAATCAATGGGAAATTCGGACTACTCCATCCGACCGGGTGTTAAAGACGCCAACATCTTTCGTGTAAATGCATTTTTATTCTTCCGGTTTGGTTTTTAATTGTTATGAAATATTTAATGATGAGGTAAACGATTTAATAGTGTGGTTATAAGGAGATTTTCACGTCGGAGTGGATTTATCCTGACTATTTGTGAAGGCGTCACCCCCCGCCGCTGCTTGCGTTGGTTCAGTCCGGCTCGAGCTCACAGCCCTCGGCACTATTTTTTTTTTTTTATGTTTTTTTTTAGGGAGCGAAGTTCGTGATTTAAAGTCAAGCCGAAGTGGCTGTAAAATCTTTAAACTTGTGTATTTTCCTAATTTTATTCGTCACTTTGGCCGACGTGCC